ATCATCCTGCGGATCCCACTTTCAATTCAAGAACCCAGCTCAAACACAGAATACGAAAGAGTCCTCGTCGTCAATCGCCACACACGTGCTGTCGGAGGCCTGCATGCACCCCCCCCCCCCAAACAGACGAAGCCGGACACCCGCACAGGAACAATATTTAACAATTGCGTACCACTACAGAGCCCCAGCCTCTTGATCAGACGATCCTACGGAGCTCGAGCTCGATTTCCGTACCGGAATATCTAAGCCGTTCAAGTGGTAGTAGAGCCGCTTGAGAACTGCAACTTCTGTTGTCCTGACAAATAGAATATGATTGCAATATAGAGGTTTCGACGGCATGCAATGCGAATGTCCTGCTGAACGGTGTTCGGTGGATCACTTTGCACAAATAACCCACAAGGCAGCGTAAACGAGTTCCATGCAGGGTAGACCAATCCTGCAGGGCACAAGTGCTGCCACAAATGGAAGATTAAATGCAGACTGCACCCAACCTTGAGCAGCTTTTTGTTTCCACGAGTGGAAACAAAACCCTGCGTCCAAAACCCATAGGCCACTCCGGCATACATCACTGCAGCCTCGTATGAAGACGATTGCAATATCCACTGTTTTGGGCCATCGAACCGATGAGGCTTTAACAGACAACTAAGGTCTGAACACGGTGATCTTTGCTCGAGATCAGAACTGGGTGGGGTAGCTTCACACCAACCAACAATCGAATCACGTAGGATTTCATGATGCTGAAATTGGTAGGGTCCACAAGGTCAAGCTCCCCCAGATTGGACCCGAGGATGGTCATCAGAGGCTTCGCCTTATATAACCAAGATCACTTTCAAACTTCGTATGAGTGCAAATGTTTTAGCTGATGTGCTACCAAGCTTCTTCGGAAGCTCTGAGCTCCGAAATCCGCTCCTCGATAGTCTTCCGCAGAGTCTCCACCACATCCAAAGCAGCATCCTCGAACTTTTATTATAAACACTAGTACTCAGCGTGATGCAATGCAAATTCTAGCTGGTTTCCCATGGATATATTGTGTCAAGAGTCAGAGACGAAAAACTTCACAGGCTGCAGCACTTGCCGACCACTCACAAGCTCGCCATTTATGCTCTTCTCAGACTGAATCCACGTAAACTTCGCGGGAGCACCGGCATCGGCCTTCTTGACCATGGCTAGCGAAAACAAAAGCCCTTGAAAACTGAGCACTCGCACTCTTAAGCTTATCTAGATGCACCGGGGAACTGCAGCTCTAATATGCAGAATCGCTTGCAAAACTGAGCACTCGCGAAGCCTCTAGTCTATGCACCACACGTCCGGGAACTGCAATCTGCTGGCTACAGCCTAGATAGCTATAGTAGTAACCTGGCCCAGGCAAGGAGCACACGGAGCTTGAAGAAGCAGCGTATCAGAGCACACACATGTATACACGTCTGCAATGCACACGTGCACATCTCATCAAGCAGGCAATGCAGGGCGGTGGGCCGGGTAGCCTGCGAGCTGTTGCTCTTTCTTCTTGAGCATATGATGCAAAATGCCATATGCACCACCAGCCGGCATGGCTGAAAACTTGCAGCTAATTACGCACAGTCGATCGACCTACCCTCATATATAGGCCTGCCATGCATATGCATGTCGCGTTGCTTGCACACCACCATAAAGCAACCTCCGGCTCGAACACCAAAAGCTGCATGAATCTAGGATCTACACCGTCGATCTGGATCTCTGTGATATAGCTGGTATGCAACATCGTCCTTCAAATGCTGTGCACTTGATCAAGGAGGCGAGGCAGGCGAAGTTTGCTCACGGAAGCACAATTCCAAAGAGCCCTCCCCCACCCCCCCCCCACACACACACACGCACACAGACAGACACGAACACACACACACAGCAGACACACACACACACAGAAACACCAACACCGTACAGACACAGACACACACACACACGAACAAACACCCACAGATCACACACACAAAACAAAAACATAACACTACACACCCCACAGCACACATAGGAACACCAACACCGCGAACACCCAGAGACACACACACACATGTACACACACAATAGAGCGATAAAAGCATCACAAACAGGCCTACACACCCCACACCAGACACACAGACACGTATACATATACGTGTAAAAATGCGTGTAACGTGTATACATGCCATTTTATACGCACATTTTCAATTTTTTACTTCATTTTATCGATGTTTTCAGCATGCACAGACCAGGTTTTATGCATAATTTTGTATGCATTCTTCGCACTATAGCAAAAAGCCCAAGTGAGTGATGGGGCGAATGTGCTCTCTGGGACAATTTGGGCCACATACTGCCCATAACAGCACTTGGACCCTTTGGGGATAGAGGCGGGGACGGATGACACGACACCGCGACGACCAGCACTGGTGGTGAGGGTTGGGGGGTGGGATAAAGGCGGGGACAGATGACACGACGCGCCCTCACAGTCGCTGCTGCCTTCGGCTGCCCTCAGCTCTCACTCGCTGCTGCAGCCCCCCAGCCTCGCTGCAGTGCCCCAAACCCTCACAGTCGCTGCAGCCCCCAGCCTCGCTGCAGCGTGCCAGGTCCTCACAGTCGCTGCAGCCGCCTCACGGGTTTCAGGTAGAGGTGCTGGGGACCGGGGGGTGAGGTGGTGAGGGTTGGGGGCGAGGAGAGCGGTGAAGATTCCGGTGAGGATAGCGGTGAGGATAGAGGCGGGGACGGATGACACGACTGCGCGACGACCAGCACTGGTGGTGAGGGCCGGGGGGTGAGGATAGCCGTGGGATAGAGGCGAACACACGACAGCGAGACGACCAGCACTGGTGGTGAGGGCCGGGGGTGAGGATAGAGGCGGGGACGGATGACACGACGCGGCGACGACGCGACGAGGACGACGACGCGACGACGACGACGCGGCGACGACGACGACGTGACGAGGACGACGACGCGGCGACGACGACGCGACGAGGACGACGACGCGGCGACGACACGGCGGGACGACAAGGCGACGACACAGAATGTTGCCACGGAAATGTTGCCACCGAAATGTCCACCGAGGCGGGGCGAGGCAGGGACGACGACAGCCTCGCTGCCGCTGCCCCAGGTGCCCTCACAGTCGCTCTCACCTCACAGTCGCTGCAGCCCCCACATGCCCTGCAGCCCCCCAGCTTCGCTGCAGTGCCGGGCCCTCACAATCGCTGCAGCGTTCGGCCTCGCTGCAGCGAACCAGGTTCTGACAGTCGCCCTCCGTCACGGGTTTCAGGTGGAGGTGCTGGGGACCCGACGACCAGCACTGGTGATGAGGGCCGGGGTTGAGGATAGCGGCGAGGATGGCGGTGAGGGTAACGGATCACACGACTGCGCGACGACCAGCACTGCTGGTAGGATGGCGGTGAGGTTCTGGTGAGGATGGGCGGGGACTGCATACTTTTGTGGATACCAGTGCGGATACTTCGCGACGACACGGCAACAACGAGGAGGCACAGCGACAATGAGGCGACGACGAGGCAGCGACGACGGCGCGACGACGCGACGACGATGCGACACGACGATGCGGACGCGGCAACGGTGCGGGCGAGTCGCTGCAGCCCTCAGGCCCCTCACAGTCGCTGCAGGTCCGCAGTCGCTGCAGCCCCCATGCACATGGTGCTCCTTCACAGTCGCTTCAGCCCCCCAGCCTCACGGCCTCCATGCTCCTCTGCACGTGACCCAAGAGGATGGGTGAGGATAGCGGTAGAGGCGACGACGACGAGGCGCAGCGACGGCGATGCGACGGCGACGACGCGACGACGAGACGACGAACAGGCGGTGACAACGACCGCGCCCGAATGGTGCCAAGCCAGCACGCGTTGACGGCGACACATGGCGACACGACACGGCGACGCGACGACGACACAGCGACGATGCCGACGGCGACGAGCGGCGAACGGTGGCTATTCCTACCGGGGGCCTATCTGGGATGGGTAAACGGGCGGCAAGCCCGAAGCTTTGGCACGGATGACTGCTGCCAGCCCTTCTGGCCGTTATGGAGATGTATCCAACTATCAGACAGATTCCCCTATTCCCATAACCCGGGTGTTGCTGCTTGTTGGAACCAGTCTTGCAAAGGCGTGCTGATGTGGACTTTGGGGGCTAAAGGCCTCAATTCGCGACATTAAAAGCAGAAATCTGAACCGGAGACTCCTAAGCGCTGTAACTGTTGATACTGAAGTTAATGAAGACCCAAACAGAAAACAGCATCCGGCACAACTTTTGCACCCGACTCGCATTGTCATCATCATGATCATGAAGTACAGGACCTCACTTCAGTAGTACAGGAGCCGAGCAAGGCGATCCAAGAAAAGAACGCTCAACCAAACCGCAAGTAAAAGATCCTCAGACTTTTCCGTGAAGCTGACAGCCATTACGGCATACTGCCATATTCTTCTGGCTCTGTATGTCTGTATGGTCACGGTGCGTCATCATGTTCCGACAAGGTCAACAACGGGCCATAGCGAACAGCGACCAATGTCCAGTGTCCAGCAACAATATGAAAATAATCAATCAAGCAGTGTCCCGCAACATAGCGGCACGTAATGGAGACCACCCTGTGTCGACCAAATCAAGCAAGCAATGTAGCAACCACATAAGTCCACAAGTTGCCAATAATGCCAGTACTAAGGATGCTGCCACAAGCCTGCACACATGGCGAGACTGCAACAAAGGAAATGGCACGCACTGTCAATGTCACAACTGGATGCAATTCCCGGTGCCCGACAAGCTGCCGACAAGGTAGGTGCTCCAAGCGATTTCGTGCAACACCTGACTGGCTAGACCAATGCCGCAGAAGCCAACTGAAACGCCTTGTTTTGCATCTTTGCAACCGCCTCCAATCCAAAACTGCAGCCATGTTCAAACTTCTTTAAAAGACATGAAACGTGGCTACACTGCTACACTGGCTGAGCTTCTACAATCTTCTACACTCGCATCGCGACACTCACACATCACGACTTGACCTAGACTTCTCAGGAGTCGTCCAAGTAGTCGAAGAGTGACCGGGCGAGCCCATGCCCCCCCCCGGAGCTGAACGACAAGGTGCTGGCCAGGCGACCCATTCGCCTGAGCTTGCAACCGTTGTCGCCGTTCGTCTTGTCCAGGTGGCTGATGAGATAGAGAAGCTGGATGCCAATCAACGGCAAGTACATCGCGTTGCCAGCCATTTGCTTCATCATCCGCTCGCTCATGACATTGCCCACGACAGACTTCAAGAAGCAGTCCTCGTCGAAGATAGGAAAACCCATGCTGAGCAGGTGCTCTTCTCCAACCATGCAGCGCTTTCGGAAGAAATTGTGCAGGGTGCCATGGCTCACCAATGTTGGGCATTGCAAGGACGCTGTGGGCCCATAGCCCGGATTCTGATCCAAGTCCGCGATGATGGGGTAATTCTTGATGTACTTCATGCTTCCTTCGAGCTCGGATTCGCGGTGAGTCCAACATGTCCGGTGATCGCTTCTTCATCCACATCCTCAGGTGGCCATCCATTCGCTCACGAGTGCCGGGAGGGTAGAAGATCGACCAATCTTTGACCCTCGATACTTCCTGAGGCGCGAACCCACGGGACTGGGCAATTACGTTCAGGCCTTCTTGAAGAACATCGCTGGGTGCACAGAAAAATGCATCTGCCAACATCGTTGTCCGTGCTGCGAACATCTCATTGAACTCCTCCGCACTGCCTGTGAATCGGCAATCCTTGCGAATGAGCCATGTGAAGCGACGGTTGGGTCGCTGGGTTGAGTGACCCATCCACAGGGGATCCAATATCATGGAGTACATACATGTCGTCGAACCAGTATTCAAGGAGGCTCACTGGGAAGGCAGCTGTACACTCGTGGACGATGATCATAGGCGACGCAAGTCTCGTCTTTGCCGCCCACGCCAGGAAGGCGAGGTGACTGTCATGAAGGACACCTTCACGCTTTCCCAAGATGGACCAACCAACACATGGAGTTCCTGCCACCTCAATGGTCACAGGGTCGTGGAAGTCTTCCGGAGGGGTGTACTCATGCGACCTTGGGCAACAGAACAAGAGCAGTAGGAATGTCATTCACAGCACACGCAGCATATCTTACCTGCCTAAGCACACGACCCCAAGTTAATGCTCTCTATAGCCAAGCGACTTGCAGCACTTCCTGTGCCGAAAGCATGCTGACTCCTCGACGATCTCACGAACATGGCGAAACATGTACGTCTGCGTGTCCTGCACAGCATGTCGGCCCCGGCCCTCCTCCTTGGCACGATCAACAAAGTTGAACTTCTCAATCATCTCATCTGAGGAGCTGTCGAAGATGTCGCCGAAGCAGCACCCACCAGCATCGTGCCAGTATCTCGACTTCGGCCATGACATTGCGAAGTCTTGACTCTCCGGAAGTTTGTCACAAGTCCAGGCACTCATAAGTCTCCCATGCAGCTGCTCCGACTCCGAAGTTTGGCCGTTTCTTTCAAGAACGTCTGCGGTTGCATGTACCAGCTGCTCCAAAGCCAGTTCTGCAGTCAGGAGACCTGAGAAATGAGTCCCCACGATCAACCCACCACGGAGATTGCTCAACCAGGTCTCGAATTGACCAATGTCACGCATAGCAGCTATTACCCTCGTTGGCCAGTCCAACATCTCCTGTACTGTGCGAGGACCCTCTGGGAGGCTGCTGTCATGTCTCGCCGGCATTCGCTTGACTGGCATCCTGTGGCCGTCACTGACACAAAAGTCGAGGTGAGTAGAGCTACCCGAGGACCCGAACCAAAAACTGAGGTCAAGTGCAGAGGCAGATTCAAGTGGATCGCTCAATGATGAAATCTGAGTCTGAGGCCCCGGCCGCAAGATGCACCACACATTTTCATAACCGTTGGAGCAAGCCCAGTGTGATGCACAAGAACAGCGATGAGCAACACATGAAAGCGATGCAGCACAGTCCACGGGGCAGCACCTCAGGAAGGTGCATCGGGAACGGCGGCTTATGCTGACGGGCACACTGCCCACCTTAGGCCACGGTGTGGAGCCTTGGCCAAGTCTTTTGCTAGGTTTCAGTCGGCTGCAATATGTGGGTCTGAAACCCAGGCTCTGGAAGGGGCTGTGCATGGTTCGCGCAGCAGGTGTAGGCGCCAGTGCTGGCTGAGATCTGATCGCACGTGTGTGCCAGTCCGCCATCCAAGACGGTCGTGAAATGCGGAGGGCGGCCCCCCCGTAGTTGTCTTACCTTCAAGAGGGCATGGCGATTGCAGCCAGTGGGATACTACCGGGCATAAAAGTCCTTCGGAAACCTGGCAGCCGTGTGGCAAATCGCACGTGTGTGCAGTGGGCAGGGGCTACTGCTGCCGATCGTTCATTGATTGCAATTTCAACCTGTCTGTCTGCACCTCGCTTCAGGCTTCCATGGCTAACGTGGATGCGGCGCTTTTGGAGCTTGCCGCATGCAGAGTACCGCAGGAGTTCCACTTCGTGCTGGATGGTTATGACGTGCCGCTGTTTGGTTGCCTAGCAGCCTCACACTCGGAAGTCGATGCCTCAATCGAGATACTGCTGGAGGGGGCCGCCTTGGCCTGCAGAAATCCACTGAGAAACTACGTCTTATGTCATCCTTCCAGTTTGAAAGCTGCAAACTTGCATCCTTCCGATTTGTGCGAGCTTCTGGGCCGAGGTAGCAACGGCAGTCACTGACGCTTTTTTGGCGCTGCGGCTTGCTTGACTTCCAGGGTTAGCAGTCAGCAGTTCAACGTCACATACCGTGAGCAGGCTGAGGCATTCAAGTTTTTCAAGGCAAGCGGAGCATGCAACGGGTACTGGACCAGCGACAGATGCCAACACTGGTCAAAAGCAGTTTCACAGAGGCGCTCTTAGTTGTGCGGTGCACAGACGCGATCAATCCATTTGAAGAGACCGTATGTATTCATATTGCATACCAGCACCATGGGCTTGTCTCTAGAGGCCGACACAGACGACTTAAACAGTATCCCATCAGAGACTCTAAACCCTGAGCCCCTAAACAGAATACCGCCAGTGTTACTGCCGCCTGAAGCTCCTCAATATTCGGGCTTCGTAGCCCCGAAGATGCCTCATGCCGCTGGCAGGCCAGGCGGATGAACTTGCGCTCGTAAAGCCGCAGGCTCTGAAGGTGAGCCCCCTTAACGAAGGCGAGTGATATGCACAAAAGACCCAAAATGCCCTGCAGGAAGGTCATGCCGACTTGGCCTGAGGTAGCTCTCTTGAAGGTATCTCGTCGTACACCAGCTCTTCCAACCTGGGGATTTTCGCCGGCCTGCGCAGAGCGAAAGACTCCTCTTGGGATTTGCTCATCCGATGCTTCCAAGCCACCCACCGCATCTCACCTGGTTTAACAAGCTTTGCGGCCAAAGCTAAGAGCCGGTGACCTGGGGTGTTGCATCCAAGACCTCTCCTGGGTACAAAGCCTCGAACTCAAGGCGGAGTTTCACCACCTCCTCACCTGTCAATTTAACCGGGAAAGAGTCTACCCATGAGGCTGCATTGGATGTCATGCTTGCATGGGCTGCACTCCCCGCAGACGAACCAGTTGCCGTCACAGACTGACACTTCTGAAACAGCAGGCTCCCGTGCTGCTGAGGCACACGCGCACAAGTCAAGCATCGTTCGCTGATGGCAGCACGAATCCGTAGCAATCTGCCCTGCGAGCGGGGCGACGGCAAAACCCCTAAGCTGAAAAGGCATCGAAACCAAGTGCTGGGCTTGGATGTGCCGCGATTGACTTCATTGTCTTCGTCTTCCTTCACCCAGTTCTCGTCCTGCAAAGTCAAGCTGAGACGCGGCACAGGGAGGGCCAGGTGGGAGAGTTTGACGTAAAAAGCTCTATGTCAATTTCATCTGCGTCGCACATGACTCGGTTTGGCTTCTCCGCTTTGATTGCCTGATTTCATGGGTTGCGAGTTGCAAGAGGTGCAAACATGGACACTCTAAACTTCAATCTTTGTCATCGTCCTTCTGCAAACAACTCCGAAGACAGGACGGGCTAAATCCAAGCGCAAGTTCCAAGGACATGGCCTTCTTGAGGTCATCCACCTGACATCGCTCACCAAAAGCGAGGAGAACCGTTCATAAACTCACAACAATGAACCGCACTCAGAAACTCGCGAAGACAATTGCAGAACCCTCAGAAAGTCGCGCAGCTGAGACCGCCGCATCTGCAATGGCCCCTCTGACTTTAAAGGCACTGCCGACGACCTCAATCGTAGACCCGTCCTCGCAGAACAAACGCGCTACAATCCAGTTCAATGCCAATTGCATCCAATCAACCTATGCCCGGCGAAGCTGAGAAATGCTAGACGCAAGGAGTGCAACAAAGACTGCAAATCTTAGATGCCGTGTTGGGACGGGGCATTTACAAGAGACCATAATGGAAACCCCACACGTGGACAGAAGCACTTGCATATGAACATGAAGGCTTCATCGAAGTCGTCGTCCTTGCGAAGTTGACAGGCCCAAATGACTGTCGGTTGCGCTGGGGCACTGCCTCGCAGGTGATGTGCAATCTCATTCTCACAATCAAAATCCACAGAAGCCAGTGCACTAGAGAAGTAAAATGAGGAACTACCTGTCTTCCATTCTTCACATGTGCAGTCTGCGCAGAATGCAACAGGCACGAATTCTCTTCTGAACACGCAGGCCTCAGTTTCATGTGTGCGCGCTCAGGGAATTTAACGAAACATCACACGCTGGCTTCTTGGAAATGGAAAATCAGAAACGAGTGTTGCTTTTGATTCTTGGTCCAATCGGTTTGATACCCAGCCTTGAAGCTGTTGCAGTGCCACCTGCAGCTTCTCCGCTTTCTTCTGTTCCTGTCGGAAGGCAAAATGTTCAACGTTTTCGCGGGAAATCCACACTGGCAGGGTCTCCACATCAACGGTAATCTTGGCATCCTCCATTCCGTTGAAGAAAAGGACTGGTGTGCACCCCAGATGTTTTGCAAGCTCACATTGTTTTTTGATCTGTCGCTTCTTTCTGTCCGACAAAACAGCTTCTATAGCAATTTCAATCAGGGCAGGCGTATGAAGCCTTTCCTGGATGAAGCGCTGAAGCGTGATGACTTGATTCCCACCCAGACGGACTGCTACTTCAGGAAGGTCGTGTTCCACGGCTGGCCCTGCTGGCTCTGACTTCATGTCCACCTCATAAAGGACTTCCCCTGTCAACCCCAGTGCTGGGGGTGGGTTCTCTTTGTCGCCATTGAACCATCTGTCCACAGCCCTGCTATATGCTCTCAGCCTGGCGTTGTCCAAAGCACCTTTGTGCACGTTCCACTTCTCGCGCACCCCTTCCACATGTTTGAGACCTTGCCGCTGGACCTGGAGAACGAAAATGTGCGCATCGTGCAAAGCTGTCGAGTCTTCGAGTATCTCCAGACTCTCGTTGTAGTAAATGTTGCTCCTGACCCGGAGCCCGTGTTGAACGAGCACATTGCACAGGCTCTGCTCAAATCTCTCCGAGTCAAGGATGCTGTGACCACCACTTGTCCGGCTAACGGCAAAGCTGCCGCAAGTTTCCTCAATTGGAAGGAGTCGCCGGCTGTGTCGGCGTTCACAGACAGAAGTCACCTGGCCCATTGCAAGGCATCCATTCCATTGGTTTACCAAGTCAATGCTTGCATGTCTATAGATAACACTTTGAGACTTTGCATAGGTGTTCATGCATGAACCGTTTCACCCATTGAACCACACAGCTCCATTCTCACTGCACGCAGTGTTTTAAAGCTGTTAGCTTGAGCCAACTGCAGCACGCCAGCTCGTCAGTTCACGCACCCAAACCACAGTGGATCGTTGCAGGGAGGGCAAGTCTGCCAGAAACAAAACCTAAGGAGTGCCCTGGGCAGTGTCTGGAGATGTTGTCGCCTTCACTTATCTTGTCAACTTTGAGCCAAGTCAACCCATCAAATCTTTCAAACCAGTTAAATCTCAAGTTCCTACAGCAGAAAAGTCAATTTAACAAATTTGACGGATTTGACGGCAAATCTGTTCGAAGTTCTGCACAGGCGGCAGGCCGGAGATGATGGCAAACAGCAGAAGTCTTAACAAATGGCGAAGATCCGCGGACCTGAAGCAGGGTAGGCAAACCCTGCTTCAGCGGGTGTTCATGAGGGTCATCTCACGGTGGCAAGGTACACGCAGCTGGGCCAACAGGATCAAGTAAAGCCATGTCTGGCGCCACTCAGCCTCATCTCTGCTAGCCAAAAATATCTCGCTCGCCACTTGTGGCACTTCATTGGACAGGATGCGGTAGACTTCTTCCATGGTCTTCTCCGCATCAAAGTGCTCAGCGTCTCTGCCTTCTTGGTCTTTAAGCAAATGGTGTAGAGCTCGCAAACTGTAGACCAAGAGTCGCGGACTGCCTCCTGTTCACAGCTGCAAAACCTGTGGTAGCTGCGGTAGCTTGGCCAGGAAAGGCGAGCAGAAGCGGATCGCTTTGCGTCGATGTCTCAATGATGTACTTGATGTGTTGCTCCTGCAAGGCTTCTCTAGACATAGGATTGAAACTTGGTCAAAACAACTTAAAAGACAGTGCGTTCCACGAAGAGCAACCGCGCTGAAAGTGACTTCAGAACCTCGAAGCAAGGCTTTGAAACATGTCAAGATTCATCAGCTCCTGCAGCAGATCCAGAATGATCCATTTCGTTCCAACTCCAGAGGCAGGTCCACCAACCGCAGTCAATGGAACACTCTTGCCACTCAAACAGAAGTAGATCCGAGCCATGTCGCCTCCACACTGAAGCATGGGATGCCAAGTCTGCTGCACAGCATCACGCAAATCTCTGACATTTGCTCCAAGGGAGCCGACCTCATCGAAATGGACAAACAGCGGAGTGTTGCACTCCACAACTTTATTAAAAATCCACTCGGCAATCTTGACAGTTTCTGGTCCTCCTTCCGTGCGGCCATAAAGCTTGTAAACGACGTGGCTCAAAGTTGTGCAGCTCCGCAAATCAAAATGTTGCATAGCAGCACTCTGTGCCTGTGTCAGTTCTTGCTGCCAGGCAGTACCCCAGTTTTTCTCCTCGGAACCCTGAGTCCTTCAGCTGCGTGATAAAGTTGCGCCCAAGGGTGGTTTTTCCACTGCCAAACATCTGCGCAACTACAGCCACGCTGCATAGCCGCCAATCATCAATGTCACTTCCAAGGGCCGACAATCAAGTAATTTGAGAATAACAGCCGCGTTCACATGGAAAAGGTCGAAGAGCTCGCTGTGTCTGTTCACAAATGGCACTTCATTGTGAGGAAGAACTTCGCTGTAGTCGCCAGAACCAAGGATTTTTGACTCCCAGTCGTTGGGGGTCAGACGTTGACGCTTCTCAGGGCGCTCTTCGTCTTCGGCCATGTGCCAAATCTAACACGGGCTGATTGCTTTTGTCCTTTGTAAACCCATTGCTCAGATGCTCTTGCATGTTGACGCTGTTGTAGCGGCTGAAGCTCTGCATGTAAAACTTACAAACCCTGAACAACCCGTCAAGGTCTGCACAGACTTTTGCTCGCGCAACAAACGAAGAAATCAGCTGTTCTTGCACTGCACTGCTGTCACCTAAAGCTTTGCTTTAAGCTTTGCTTTAATGAGCCTCAGAACGTGTTTCATCATCGGCCCATTCTTTCAACGAGCTTCAGTCTCAAAGCTTTCCAGCCTTGAGCCACACATAAGCGCGGCACTCCGGATTCACATGTGCTTCAGCACATGTCAAAACAAAACTTCGCTTCAAAAACATGCCGTCACAGCTTCCTACAAGCTCCACGCTGGCAAACAAACTTGCACACACTACAGCTGTTCGAGAAGGTACCTTGAGGCCTTCGAGAACTCATGCGGACTCTAATCAAACTAACGGCTCACAGCATTCACTCAGCTCACTCAAAAGCTCAAGCAACTCATGCCACATGTCGAAAACTGTTCTCGCAGCTGAAAACCAAGGTTCCATGCCATGAAAACCGCAGCTCCCAGTGAAAATCTTCCAGTGCTTTGAGAAAACCTCTGCAAAACCAAAACCATGCAGAATATATCCAGATAACCATTGCACCTCAGAAAATTCCAGGAATCGCAGGAAAATTGGCTTGCTCCCAAACTGCAGTCAGCAGCCTGATGATATACATATCGCAGCCCATCACACTGAGCGGCTCCACCACTCAACAGGCAGAGCAGAGGTACAACTTTTCACACCCCCTTTCGATGTGTGTATCATCTCTCATCCTTGCTGCTGTCCAAAACAAGCACTTCTCGACACCAAGCACACATTGAAACATTGCCAACCATGTAGCCACGCTGCAACCCATGCGAAGCGACGAAGACATAGGTATTGGAAAAATCTCGCGCCAGATAGCCAGCTCTTCTCTCATGCCAGACAGGACGTCACCCAAAGCGAAGCTCAACAGACTTCTAACAGTGAACATACACATAAGCATCCTTGAGAATACCAGCTCTCACCGCTCATACATGTACCCATGCTCCTTCCGCAATCCCAGCGAGGATTTTACTCCTCCGCCAACTTGCGCTGGAATCCCTTCTGCTTTGAAAAACCAATCCTCATCAAATACCCCGCAAGGTCCGAGGACTGACTGGAGGAGGTCGTCGGATCATAATTGCGACCAAATTTCTCCTTGATCCAATTGAGGTAGCTTGCAAGGTCGCTATCCTCCTTGGCAAGCTTGACCAAGGTCGCATAGGACTTCTTAAACCACATCTTATTCTTCTGGACCTTTGGCAGATCGCAGATTGTCCGACCCCAATCCTCCATAGATAGATTACTTGGAAGTGGCACCGAGGTGACCTCAGTACCTGCATAGCTCACGACAATCACATTGTCGCTATCCCCAAACTCTTCCCCCTCGAATGCATCGACGAGGTCTTCATAACACTTGGGAGTGCTCACAGCACCCTTTGCGCTTCCCTTTGAAATCGGCAGCTGGGCACCGCAAGCAGATCCTGATGCAGTAGACCTATCCTCTGGATATCCACCCACATCTCTGAGACGCTTGGTCCCATCGGTCATAGAAGTATTGGCAGTCGAAGCCAAGCCATCTGCAGAATCCATCTTATCCAGCAAACGGCGCAGCTCCCTGCGTTCATCGGTCGTGAGAACCATGGCAGCACGAGTTCGCACCTAGGTTTTACACGCAAAAACAACTAGCACCAGTACGGAGCTTTGTCTGCAGACCTCAACGTCCGCAAAGAAACCGGCGTCAAGAGGAGAATCCGAACCCAGCCAACAGCCCGGCCCAAACCCCCAAAAGCATCACTGCAACGTTTTGATCGCACCTCGAACAATCGCATCAGCGAGTTTCGGAGTGTAAAAACCTGTTTCGGTCCACCCAACTTGCCACAGACTTGCATGCTTAGCACACCTGCAGCTGGAAAAACACTTCAGGGCAGACACAAACTTTTCAGAAGTCGAAGTAAAACCCAAGACTTTGCCTATAGGCTCACCCCCTTTCGAACAAAGACCAGTCATGCACAACCTCACCGGCACATCGAACGTGTGGCCTGCCTTCTTCAGCACCTTCTGGCACAAGTCATGTTGCCAAATCTCATTGTTCCATGGCAGCTCAAAGCTCGAGTGCTTCCCAAGCTTCAAGTACTTCAACACACAAGGAAACACCTCAAACCATTCCCAATCCGACTTCGACGAGCTCCCGCCAGAGAACCGACGCAAGTAAGATCCAGAAGAGCAAGGCGTGGACACATGCACAAACACGCAGTCACACGCAAAGTTCAGAAGATATCGACGCACCTCTTTGAACACGCTGTCACTCTGCATGTTCTCAGTCACGCCAACGTAACTCATCCCGACTCTGCGACATGCACCTTGAACACTCGACTGCGGTCGACAGCACACTTCAACCATCACCAATCTCTTCTCATGATTGCACAAAGACGCAAGTGGTCCCGACAGCGACTCAAAGCCCAACGCTTCGCGATGTATCCCGAAAGCCGAGGACCCCAAACATTTAGTCAAGAGGTCTGACGGATTTTCGATTCCCTTCTTAAACGCAAGGACCAAAGAACCCGCTGCGACACGAGCTTTAAGCCACTCGACTCTTATCTCAAGATGTCTGCTTTGCCTGGGTGTGTCCAAATTGCGAAGAAGCTTCAAAGCGCTTTCTGAGTCACTGTAAAGTATCCCAGGCAATTCAACTTCCTCGCTTTCTCGAAACGACATGAAGACCCTTGCCATGAACTTTCCAAGACTCGACATTTCTTGAGCAACCGACTGCAACGCAAACAGCTCTGACTCCATAGACGACAGCGACACAAGCTGTTGGTGACGACACAAAGTCTTTATCACGCAGCCATCAAGTGTCAACACTCCTCCACTGATTCCACGGCGCTTCGTGCACCTCAAAGGCGCATGCGATGCGTCAGAGAAACACACAAGGTGCCTCTTTCCTTGGTAGTGTTGCGAGGGAGCCAACACATCACTCGCAGCAGGCAACCGCACAACCACGCACATGTCGTTCTTCAGAAATCGAAGCAAGGCTCGGAGACCATGCTCAGTATGATTCGTGGGTGTGGCTTGCTGCGTTGCCAAGATTGACACATAAGCACGCAAGTCCTGACGAGTCTGCGTCATCCAAGCTACTTTCCCCAACGCAGACCTGAACCTGGCATACGCCTCAGGAGACAATGGAACCCCATCTTGCTTCTCAACATGAACCGCAACATCTTGTGAAAAGTTGTACCTCTGAGCTGCCTGTTGAGTGGTGGAGCCGCTCAGTGTGATGGGCTGCGATATGTATATCATCAGGCTGCTGACTGCAGTTTGGGAGCAAGCCAATTTTCCTGCGATTCCTGGAATTTTCTGAGGTGCAATGGTTATCTGGATATATTCTGCATGGTTTTGGTTTTGCAGAGGTTTTCTCAAAGCACTGGAAGATTTTCACTGGGAGCTGCGGTTTTCATGGCATGGAACCTTGGTTTTCAGCTGCGAGAACAGTTTTCGACATGTGGCATGAGTTGCTTGAGCTTTTGAGTGAGCTGAGTGAATGCTGTGAGCCGTTAGTTTGATTAGAGTCCGCATGAGTTCTCGAAGGCCTCAAGGTACCTTCTCGAACAGCTGTAGTGTGTGCAAGTTTGTTTGCCAGCGTGGAGCTTGTAGGAAGCTGTGACGGCATGTTTTTGAAGCGAAGTTTTGTTTTGACATGTGCTGAAGCACATGTGAATCCGGAGTGCCGCGCTTATGTGTGGCTCAAGGCTGGAAAGCTTTGAGACTGAAGCTCGTTGAAAGAATGGGCCGATGATGAAACACGTTCTGAGGCTCATTAAAGCAAAGCTTAAAGCAAAGCTTTAGGTGACAGCAGTGCAGTGCAAGAACAGCTGATTTCTTCGTTTGTTGCGCGAGCAAAAGTCTGTGCAGACCTTGACGGGTTGTTCAGGGTTTGTAAGTTTTACATGGTAGCGGAGCACTGTTTGTGCTCCCACACCATTTCCGCCGACCCAAAGAAGGTGTTATGTCTCAAAGGCCTATAGGTCCAAGTGCTGAGGCGCCAGCTCCGTGTAGTCCAGGTCTTGCTGAGGCGGGAGGGGAGTATGGGTGTGGTACAGCTGGGTGTGGGCAACAGGAAAGGAGGCAAACAGGTGTGGAAGGTGTGAGTGGTGTTGGGTCAAGCGATCCATGGTTTACAGGTGTTCAGAGAGATCCCTGGGCGTTGTATGGAAATCGTATGCGTGCTGGAATGGGACCGATGGAGTCTCATATTAGCATGCCATGTCCACCTTCGAGCGGTACGTCTTCAGTTGCGAGTGCATGTGCTGGTATTAGGCCAGTGGCGCCAGCTCCAGGTTTGTCAGTGCCTTCGGGTCCTGCGAGGAATCTTTCGACAGTTCCGAGTCAAGGATGTTGCAGTCAGGTTTCTGGAGATAATGCTAGTGCAGGGAGACAGCTGCTTGATCGCATGAATGCGCGTGAGTTGCAGTCCTTGTATGCAGATCTTAGCCAAAGACTGAATGTCCCTGTGAGTGGACAGTTCGTTCCTGAGAGATTGGGGCAGTCGCCACCTGATTTGAATGTGCCAGCTTTTGTGAGACATCAAGGTAACACGTTACCTGGTGTTCCAGCTGAAAATGCGAGGAGCAGTGAAGACAAAGACGTCTTTAGTCGCAGTGAGAAGTGGCTAGGGTCTCCACCTTCGCCAAATCATCAAGCGTGGAAAGGGCGTGAATCTGAAGTGCTGGGCATGAATGCCTATATTCACGAGTTGGTTGCATGGGCGAATCAAGCAAGTGTTGAGTTTGGAAAGGAGATCGCTCAGGCCGCGCGATGGCCTACACAGATTGCATGGAACACGTTGTCTAAGAGTCAACAAGCGCGAGGAGTTCGTTTGTTTAGTGTGCTGAAGGCAGCGTTTGCAGATCATGGGCGGATAACTCTTATGATCCAAAGCTTCGGAGAAGGGCTTGACATTGTTGCAGTCGCCATGCAGGGAGATGTTTTCGGGAACTCTCTTTCGTATATGGGTAATGGTTTTGAGTTGCTTAGGCAGCTTGCCAAGGAGTTTTCTTTGAGAAGTCGTGCTGAGGCTATGAGTCTCAGGGCGATGCTGATGGCAAGAACGTTTCGAGCGCAAGACTCGTCAGCTCCAGTTGCTGACACAGTGCGTCAGATTGAGGTGGCAGTGGCAAGGTTTGTGCGTTTACTTTCGACGCTAGATCCTAGAGATGCTGCTGGGTTTGCTTTGACTGACAGTGATCAGCTTACGCTTTTGATGAGGTCTTTGCCTGAGAGCGCAAAGGCGTATACGTTACATCATTCGCAGGGTGAGACATATGCCTCATATCGATCTTCAGCTTTGCGATGGGAACATCAGCAGCGTTTGTTTCTTGAGTTGCAAGGGGCCAAAGGTTTGTTTGGCTTGCATGAAACCGAGTTTTCTGAGAGCGCAGGTTCGCCTGAGGCAGGTGAGGGAATGGATGGTCACGTCTTTGGCATGAGTGCTAGGCCTTCTGATGCTGGGAGCGGTGTGAAGTGCAACCGTTGTGGCAAGAAGGGGCATCAAGTGAATCAGTGCACGGCAGACCTTTCCAAGGTTAAGTGCTTCAAGTGCGGAGAGATGGGCCACATATCTTTGAACTGTGCCAAGGGCAAGCAGGGTGATGTTTCTCAGTCGAGTGCGAGACCTAAGGGTTCTGATGGCAAAGGTGCTGCTGCGGCCAAGGGTCAAGTTTCTTTTTCGCCTAAAGGCAAGAGCAAAGGAAAAGGAGGAAAGAAAGGAAAAATGTTTGCTCTGTTTGATGAGGAGACAGGGGTTTGGTGGTACACAGATGCTGATGAATCTTTTTACACCGAAGAAGGTGATGAGCAAGAAGCACAGCAGGTGGACTCCACTCTTGTGTTATCTTGTGTCATTGAGTTAACTGATGAGCCCAATACGCGTTTTGAAGCTGTCCTTGAAGACAGCGAGTCGGTGTCTGTTGTGCTCCAAGAGCAGTTGTGTCAACCTTTGTTGCAGTCGTTGGGTCAGTCGCTTGGAAGTGAGTTTTGGCTGCTTGACTCAGGTGCGTCATGCTGTGTTATCAACCATGTGACGTTGAAGACGCTTCCGCATGATGAGTTGACTGCATGTGGTTCGACGTTTATGGCTGCGAATGGGACTCCTGTTCCCTTTGATGGTCGTTGCCATGTTGTGCTAAAGGTTCGCACAAAGGATTCAAGTGGAGCTACCAAGAATGGTGTCTGCAAGATTCCTGTGATGGTGGGTGACACTCCTTACAATATCCTGTCAACGCGAACTCTTGGAAGGCATGGTTGGCGTGTTGTCTTGGATGAAGGCGTTTCTGTGTGTCATGTGAAGTCGGGTGTTGATATGATTGATACCTGTATTTGGTGTGACACGCCTTGGATCCGCGTGATTCCTCATTCAGAAGGTGATCTCTTGTTGCCGTCGGATGCCTCAGTTGATCCTGCTCCAATTTCCTCGATTGGACATGTTGCAGTTGTTTCGCAGAAGACCAAGGAAGATCTTGAAATTCACAGAGCAAAGGGCCACATGCCCTTCCATCCTGATTGCGAGCATTGTCTGAAGTCCCGAGGTGTTACCCAACACAGGCGAAAGTCTGAGCGCGGAGTGGAAACAGAGATTGTTGCAGATTTTATGTTTCTCGACTCTTCTGGAGAGACGATCAGCGTAGCTGAGCGCCAGACAAGTAGCTCTTTCAAGGTCCTCGTCCTTCGTGAGGCCTTTTCTTCTTCTATTGGGGCTGTGATGATAACTGAGAACATTGCAAAGGACAGAGGTCTTCTTTTGAAGTGGCTTGCTGAGTTTGGGTTGTCGTCCTCACAGGCAAGCATTGTGCTTTTGACAGATTCCGAAGAAGCGGTGAAGTCGTTTGTTGCAGGTGCGTCGGATAAGTACATCTTTATGGTGCGCAAGGCTGCGCCACAAGCTCATGAACAGCTTGGTGGTGCGGAAAGGACAGTCCGGGTCCTTAAAGAAGGGCTAGCTACTCTGCAAAGTGATTTTCAGTCGCTTGGTTGCGTTTTGTCGTTTCGGAGAGACTTGTTGCAGCTTGCACTTTCTTACCTGTGCATGAGTGTGAATTCGAATGGCAAAGCTTTTGGCGGTGAACGCTCTCCAAAGGAGGTTGCAGTTGGTCGAAGGTTGCCAGATACCCCTTTTGCGTTGTTTGGGTCCAAGGTGCTTGCTGAGGTCCCTGAGTCTGTGAAGGCTTTGTGCCCGAATATGTCGCGTTTTGAGGCGGCAGCTTTTCTTCACCCGCAATTTGGGTCGCTTGGGAGCTTGGTGTATGCGCATGTGCGTGTGGGCCAGGTCTTGACGCCAAAGGTGTTTGTTGCCAAGTCGATCAAGCTTGTGTTTCCGATTGAGCTTGTCTTCGAGTCGGGGATGTTTGAAGTTTTGCGTCGTCGTGGTGAGCTTGGGCCTGAGAGGCCAGATCATCCAGTTGCGCCTCGGATTCTTCCGAGTTCCCAGGGTGCCTCTTTGAAGTGTCCTGTTTCCGGTCCGCCAAAGGAGTTTTTTGAGAGGTATGGGTTCTCAGGTGAGTGCCGAGCGTGTTCTAACATGGCACAATTTGGGTCTAGGAAGGGCTCTTCTCACGGTCGGGCTTGCTGTTTGAGATATGAAGCGTGGTTGCGGTCGCAAGTTGCAACAGATGACAGCATGGACGTTGAAGTGCCTGTGGCTTCGGATGCAGAGGCTATGCGTGAAGCTCTTTCTGAGCTAGCCGAGGATGAGTCGAGGCAAGACCGAGCTGTGGAGGAGGCTCAGGGTTCTCCTTTGCCTCCCCCGGCCAATGGGGACGCTGCTTCGTCTGAGGCTCCAGCGAGGATTGTGAGCGAGGCGGCCCCCAGTGGTCGTGTTTTCACGCGTGGTTGTCCTGCGTGCGAGTCTGGCATGAATGCTCCTGGCATTCGTCACAATGCTGATTGCAAGCGAAGGAACCAACATCTGAGTGTTAGATTTTCTGTTTCTGGGGAGCCCGATGATGACGAAGCTTTGTCCAGGCGTCTGCCTGAAAATCTTGAAGGAGCTGTTGCTCCTGAGTCTGAGGGCATTGGGGCTCTTGATGAGGACACTGAGATGCCGTTTGCCGATCCAGTGTTGACTGGAAGTGAAGGCGGAGGCAGCCTAGAGGCTGAGGAAGTGCTTCGTGGAAGCAGTGCTGTGAAACGCTCCTCTGAAGTCCCGTTGGAAGATCTGGAGCGTGAGATCAGGCAGGACCAAGAAAGGGTTGCTTCAGTTATGGTTACCTTCCACAATTGCGAAACAGGGAATGATGTTCACATGCCTCTTGCGAGTTTTGTTGAGCAGGCGTTCCAGGTTTCCAATTATGTCCCTTTGCTTTCAGGGCTTGTGGATTCGGTTCAGTTCGCCCCGAACTCTACGAGTGTTGTTTTGCCGTTTGGGAAAAGGTCGCATTTGAGACTTTGGAAGCCTAGTTCCGCTGTTGATGACTCTACCTTGGGTGAGCTTTCAGGAGATCAGGTCATGGAAGGCATGGTCAAAGAAGTCAACAATTTGAGTCACATGGAAACTGGGGATCTGTTGACTGCTTCAGAACTTCAGAGTCTTGAGAAGAGGTTCCCAGGTACCTTGAAGGTCATCCCTAGTCGTTGGGTCACGACGCAGAAAACACCAACTACAGTGCGAGCTAGGATTGTCATCAAGGATATTGCTGGCAAGAACTCAGAGTCTGCAAGGGCTTTGGGCATTTCAAGTCCTACTCCTAGTGCCGATGCTTTGTTCACGGTTCTTGGGATTGCAGGTTGCAGAGATTGCGTGATTGCGAGCGCTGATGTATCTCACGCTTTCATGGCTACGCCTTTGAGAGAAAGGGATGTGGTGATGAGGTTTCCTCTGTCAGTGTCTTCGGTTTCAGGGGATCCTTTGTATCTTCACCTCAACAAAGCCCTCAATGGGCTACGCAAGGCTTCGCAGGAATGGATCTACTTCGTAGGGGAGACTGTGAAGGTTTTGGGGCTTCAAAGTTGCAGCTTAGAGCCGTGTCTGTTTTCAGGCATGCTTGAGTCAGGTCCCTGTTTGCTGTTAGTCTATGTGGATGATTTTCTGTGCATTGCGCCAACAAAGGAGGATGCAGATCACATCTTTGAGGTGATTGAGAAGAAAGTTGAACTCAAGAGAACCGGGTTGATCAATTCTTCCAAGGATGGCGGTGGCACTTTGCGGTTTATTGGTAGGGTTATCTCCAGGAGAAAGGGGGAGTCCTCTATCACAGTGTCTTTGCCAGAAGATTATTTGGATGAGACCTTCAAGGCTTATGGTCTTTCGGGAAAAGGTTCCTCAAGTCCTCCAGATGTTGCGGTTCATGTTGAGAAGCAAGATGGGGTTCCATTGTCTCCTGAGGCGTATGCCAGGTTCAGGTCTGCGTTGGGGAAAGTAGCTTGGATGACGCAGACTCGTCAGGACTTGCGTGCTTATGTGTCAATCTTGGCAACGCAGCAAGCCACACCCACGAATCATACTGAGCATGGTCTCCGAGCCTTGCTTCGATTTCTGAAGAACGACATGTGCGTGGTTGTGCGGTTGCCTGCTGCGAGTGATGTGTTGGCTCCCTCGCAACACTACCAAGGAAAGAGGCACCTTGTGTGTTTCTCTGACGCATCGCATGCGCCTTTGAGGTGCACGAAGCGCCGTGGCATCAGTGGAGGAGTGTTGACACTTGATGGCTGCGTGATAAAGACTTTGTGTCGTCACCAACAGCTTGTGTCGCTGTCGTCTATGGAGTCAGAGCTGTTTGCGTTGCAGTCGGTTGCTCAAGAAATGTCGAGTCTTGGAAAGTTCATGGCAAGGGTCTTCATGTCGTTTCGAGAAAGCGAGGAAGTTGAATTGCCTGGGATACTTTACAGTGACTCAGAAAGCGCTTTGAAGCTTCTTCGCAATTTGGACACACCCAGGCAAAGCAGACATCTTGAGATAAGAGTCGAGTGGCTTAAAGCTCGTGTCGCAGCGGGTTCTTTGGTCCTTGCGTTTAAGAAGGGAATCGAAAATCCGTCAGACCTCTTGACTAAATGTTTGGGGTCCTCGGCTTTCGGGATACATCGCGAAGCGTTGGGCTTTGAGTCGCTGTCGGGACCACTTGCGTCTTTGTGCAATCATGAGAAGAGATTGGTGATGGTTGAAGTGTGCTGTCGACCGCAGTCGAGTGTTCAAGGTGCATGTCGCAGAGTCGGGATGAGTTACGTTGGCGTGACTGAGAACATGCAGAGTGACAGCGTGTTCAAAGAGGTGCGTCGATATCTTCTGAACTTTGCGTGTGACTGCGTGTTTGTGCATGTGTCCACGCCTTGCTCTTCTGGATCTTACTTGCGTCGGTTCTCTGGCGGGAGCTCGTCGAAGTCGGATTGGGAATGGTTTGAGGTGTTTCCTTGTGTGTTGAAGTACTTGAAGCTTGGGAAGCACTCGAGCTTTGAGCTGCCATGGAACAATGAGATTTGGCAACATGACTTGTGCCAGAAGGTGCTGAAGAAGGCAGGCCACACGTTCGATGTGCCGGTGAGGTTGTGCATGACTGGTCTTTGTTCGAAAGGGGGTGAGCCTATAGGCAAAGTCTTGGGTTTTACTTCGACTTCTGAAAAGTTTGTGTCTGCCCTGAAGTGTTTTTCCAGCTGCAGGTGTGCTAAGCATGCAAGTCTGTGGCAAGTTGGGTGGACCGAAACAGGTTTTTACACTCCGAAACTCGCTGATGCGATTGTTCGAGGTGCGATCAAAACGTTGCAGTGATGCTTTTGGGGGTTTGGGCCGGGCTGTTGGCTGGGTTCGGATTCTCCTCTTGACGCCGGTTTCTTTGCGGACGTTGAGGTCTGCAGACAAAGCTCCGTACTGGTGCTAGTTGTTTTTGCGTGTGAAACCTAGGTGCGAACTCGTGCTGCCATGGTTCTCACGACCGATGAACGCAGGGAGCTGCGCCGTTTGCTGGATAAGATGGATTCTGCAGATGGCTTGGCTTCGACTGCCAATACTTCTATGACCGATGGGACCAAGCGTCTCAGAGATGTGGGTGGATATCCAGAGGATGGGTCTACTGCATCAGGATCTGCTTGCGGTGCCCAGCTGCCGATTTCAAAGGGAAGCGCAAAGGGTGCTGTGAGCACTCCCAAGTGTTATGAAGACCTCGTCGATGCATTCGAGGGGGAAGAGTTTGGGGATAGCGACAATGTGATTGTCGTGAGCTATGCAGGTACTGAGGTCACCTCGGTGCCACTTCCAAGTAATCTATCTATGGAGGATTGGGGTCGGACAATCTGCGATCTGCCAAAGGTCCAGAAGAATAAGATGTGGTTTAAGAAGTCCTATGCGACCTTGGCCAAGCTTGCCAAGGAGGATAGCGACCTTGCAAGCTACCTCAATTGGATCAAGGAGAAATTTGGTCGCAATTATGATCCGACGACCTCCTCCAGTCAGTCCTCGGACCTTGCGGGGTATTTGATGAGGATTGGTTTTTCAAAGCAGAAGGGATTCCAGCGCAAGTTGGCGGAGGAGTAAAATCCTCGCTGGGATTGCGGAAGGAGCATGGGTACATGTATGAGCGGTGAGAGCTGGTATTCTCAAGGATGCCTATGTGTATGTTCACTGTTAGAAGTCTGTTGGGCTTCGCTTTGGGTGACGTCCTGTCTGGCATGAGAGAAGAGCTGGCTATCTGGCGCGAGATTTTTCCAATACCTATGTCTTCGTCGCTTCGCATGGGTTGCAGCGTGGCTACATGGTTGGCAATGTTTCAATGTGTGCTTGGTGTCGAGAAGTGCTTGTTTTGGACAGCAGCAAGGATGAGAGATGATACACACATCGAAAGGGGGTGTGAAAAGTTGTACCTCTGAGCTGCCTGTTGAGTGGTGGAGCCGCTCAGTGTGATGGGCTGCGATATGTATATCATCAGGCTGCTGACTGCAGTTTGGGAGCAAGCCAATTTTCCTGCGATTCCTGGAATTTTCTGAGGTGCAATGGTTATCTGGATATATTCTGCATGGTTTTGGTTTTGCAGAGGTTTTCTCAAAGCACTGGAAGATTTTCACTGGGAGCTGCGGTTTTCATGGCATGGAACCTTGGTTTTCAGCTGCGAGAACAGTTTTCGACATGTGGCATGAGTTGCTTGAGCTTTTGAGTGAGCTGAGTGAGTGCTGTGAGCCGTTAGTTTGATTAGAGTCCGCATGAGTTCTCGAAGGCCTCAAGGTACCTTCTCGAACAGCTGTAGTGTGTGCAAGTTTGTTTGCCAGCGTGGAGCTTGTAGGAAGCTGTGACGGCATGCTTTTGAAGCGAAGTTTTGTTTTGACATGTGCTGAAGCACATGTGAATCCGGAGTGCCGCGCTTATGTGTGGCTCAAGGCTGGAAAGCTTTGAGACTGAAGCTCGTTGAAAGAATGGGCCGATGATGAAACACGTTCTGAGGCTCATTAAGGCAAAGCTTAAAGCAAAGCTTTAGGTGACAGCAGTGCAGTGCAAGAACAGCTGATTTCTTCGTTTGTTGCGCGAGCAAAAGTCTGTGCAGACCTTGACGGGTTGTTCAGGGTTTGTAAGTTTTTAACACATGGAGGACTTGGTGAAAAGTTGTACCTCTGAGCTGTGCCTGTTGAGTGGTGGAGCCGCTCAGTGTGCTGGGCTGCGATATGTATATCATCAGGCTGCTGACTGCAGTTTGGGAGCAAGCCAATTTTCCTGCGATTCCTGGAATTTTCTGAGGTGCAATGGTTATCTGGATATATTCTGCATGGTTTTGGTTTTGCAGAGGTTTTCTCAAAGCACTGGAAGATTTTCACTGGGAGCTGCGGTTTTCATGGCATGGAACCTTGGTTTTCAGCTGCGAGAACAGTTTTCGACATGTGGCATGAGTTGCTTGAGCTTTTGAGTGAGCTGAGTGAATGCTGTGAGCCGTTAGTTTGATTAGAGTCCGCATGAGTTCTCGAAGGCCTCAAGGTACCTTCTCGAACAGCTGTAGTGTGTGCAAGTTTGTTTGCCAGCGTGGAGCTTGTAGGAAGCTGTGACGGCATGTTTTTGAAGCGAAGTTTTGTTTTGACATGTGCTGAAGCACATGTGAATCCGGAGTGCCGCGCTTATGTGTGGCTCAAGGCTGGAAAGCTTTGAGACTGAAGCTCGTTGAAAGAATGGGCCGATGATGAAACACGTTCTGAGGCTCATTAAAGCAAAGCTTAAAGCAAAGCTTTAGGTGACAGCAGTGCAGTGCAAGAACAGCTGAACACTTCGTTTGTTGCGCGAGCAAAAGTCTGTGCAGACCTTGACGGGTTGTTCAGGGTTTGTAAGTTTTACATGGTAGCGGAGCACTGTTTGTGCTCCCACACCATTTCCGCCGACCCAAAGAAGGTGTTATGTCTCAAAGGCCTATAGGTCCAAGTGCTGAGGCGCCAGCTCCGTGTAGTCCAGGTCTTGCTGAGGCGGGAGGGGAGTATGGGTGTGGTACAGCTGGGTGTGGGCAACAGGAAAGGAGGCAAACAGGTGTGGAAGGTGTGAGTGGTGTTGGGTCAAGCGATCCATGGTTTACAGGTGTTCAGAGAGATCCCTGGGCGTTGTATGGAAATCGTATGCGTGCTGGAATGGGACCGATGGAGTCTCATATTAGCATGCCATGTCCACCTTCGAGCGGTACGTCTTCAGTTGCGAGTGCATGTGCTGGTATTAGGCCAGTGGCGCCAGCTCCAGGTTTGTCAGTGCCTTCGGGTCCTGCGAGGAATCTTTCGACAGTTCCGAGTCAAGGATGTTGCAGTCAGGTTTCTGGAGATAATGCTAGTGCAGGGAGACAGCTGCTTGATCGCATGAATGCGCGTGAGTTGCAGTCCTTGTATGCAGATCTTAGCCAAAGACTGAATGTCCCTGTGAGTGGACAGTTCGTTCCTGAGAGATTGGGGCAGTCGCCACCTGATTTGAATGTGCCAGCTTTTGTGAGACATCAAGGTAACACGTTACCTGGTGTTCCAGCTGAAAATGCGAGGAGCAGTGAAGACAAAGACGTCTTTAGCCGCAGTGAGAAGTGGCTAGGGTCTCCACCTTCGCCAAATCATCAAGCGTGGAAAGGGCGTGAATCTGAAGTGCTGGGCATGAATGCCTATATTCACGAGTTGGTTGCATGGGCGAATCAAGCAAGTGTTGAGTTTGGAAAGGAGATCGCTCAGGCCGCGCGATGGCCTACACAGATTGCATGGAACACGTTGTCTAAGAGTCAACAAGCGCGAGGAGTTCGTTTGTTTAGTGTGCTGAAGGCAGCGTTTGGAGATCATGGGCGGATAACTCTTATGATCCAAAGCTTCGGAGAAGGGCTTGACATTGTTGCAGTCGCCATGCAGGGAGATGTTTTCGGGAACTCTCTTTCGTATATGGGTAATGGTTTTGAGTTGCTTAGGCAGCTTGCCAAGGAGTTTTCTTTGAGAAGTCGTGCTGAGGCTATGAGTCTCAGGGCGATGCTGATGGCAAGAACGTTTCGAGCGCAAGACTCGTCAGCTCCAGTTGCTGACACAGTGCGTCAGATTGAGGTGGCAGTGGCAAGGTTTGTGCGTTTACTTTCGACGCTAGATCCTAGAGATGCTGCTGGGTTTGCTTTGACTGACAGTGATCAGCTTACGCTTTTGATGAGGTCTTTGCCTGAGAGCGCAAAGGCGTATACGTTACATCATTCGCAGGGTGAGACATATGCCTCATATCGATCTTCAGCTTTGCGATGGGAACATCAGCAGCGTTTGTTTCTTGAGTTGCAAGGGGCCAAAGGTTTGTTTGGCTTGCATGAAACCGAGTTTTCTGAGAGCGCAGGCTCGCCTGAGGCAGGTGAGGGAATGGATGGTCACGTCTTTGGCATGAGTGCTAGGCCTTCTGATGCTGGGAGCGGTGTGAAGTGCAACCGTTGTGGCAAGAAGGGGCATCAAGTGAATCAGTGCACGGCAGACCTTTCCAAGGTTAAGTGCTTCAAGTGCGGAGAGATGGGCCACATATCTTTGAACTGTGCCAAGGGCAAGCAGGGTGATGTTTCTCAGTCGAGTGCGAGACCTAAGGGTTCTGATGGCAAAGGTGCTGCTGCGGCCAAGGGTCAAGTTTCTTTTTCGCCTAAAGGCAAGAGCAAAGGAAAAGGAGGAAAGAAAGGAAAAATGTTTGCTCTGTTTGATGAGGAGACAGGGGTTTGGTGGTACACAGATGCTGATGAATCTTTTTACACCGAAGAAGGTGATGAGCAAGAAGCACAGCAGGTGGACTCCACTCTTGTGTTATCTTGTGTCATTGAGTTAACTGATGAGCCCAATACGCGTTTTGAAGCTGTCCTTGAAGACAGCGAGTCGGTGTCTGTTGTGCTCCAAGAGCAGTTGTGTCAACCTTTGTTGCAGTCGTTGGGTCAGTCGCTTGGAAGTGAGTTTTGGCTGCTTGACTCAGGTGCGTCATGCTGTGTTATCAACCATGTGACGTTGAAGACGCTTCCGCATGATGAGTTGACTGCATGTGGTTCGACGTTTATGGCTGCGAATGGGACTCCTGTTCCCTTTGATGGTCGTTGCCATGTTGTGCTAAAGGTTCGCACAAAGGATTCAAGTGGAGCTACCAAGAATGGTGTCTGCAAGATTCCTGTGATGGTGGGTGACACTCCTTACAATATCCTGTCAACGCGAACTCTTGGAAGGCATGGTTGGCGTGTTGTCTTGGATGAAGGCGTTTCTGTGTGTCATGTGAAGTCGGGTGTTGATATGATTGATACCTGTATTTGGTGTGACACGCCTTGGATCCGCGTGATTCCTCATTCAGAAGGTGATCTCTTGTTGCCGTCGGATGCCTCAGTTGATCCTGCTCCAATTTCCTCGATTGGACATGTTGCAGTTGTTTCGCAGAAGACCAAGGAAGATCTTGAAATTCACAGAGCAAAGGGCCACATGCCCTTCCATCCTGATTGCGAGCATTGTCTGAAGTCCCGAGGTGTTACCCAACACAGGCGAAAGTCTGAGCGCGGAGTGGAAACAGAGATTGTTGCAGATTTTATGTTTCTCGACTCTTCTGGAGAGACGATCAGCGTAGCTGAGCGCCAGACAAGTAGCTCTTTCAAGGTCCTCGTCCTTCGTGAGGCCTTTTCTTCTTCTATTGGGGCTGTGATGATAACTGAGAACATTGCAAAGGACAGAGGTCTTCTTTTGAAGTGGCTTGCTGAGTTTGGGTTGTCGTCCTCACAGGCAAGCATTGTGCTTTTGACAGATTCCGAAGAAGCGGTGAAGTCGTTTGTTGCAGGTGCGTCGGATAAGTACATCTTTATGGTGCGCAAGGCTGCACCACAAGCTCATGAACAGCTTGGTGGTGCGGAAAGGACAGTCCGGGTCCTTAAAGAAGGGCTAGCTACTCTGCAAAGTGATTTTCAGTCGCTTGGTTGCGTTTTGTCGTTTCGGAGAGACTTGTTGCAGCTTGCACTTTCTTACCTGTGCATGAGTGTGAATTCGAATGGCAAAGCTTTTGGCGGTGAACGCTCTCCAAAGGAGGTTGCAGTTGGTCGAAGGTTGCCAGATACCCCTTTTGCGTTGTTTGGGTCCAAGGTGCTTGCTGAGGTCCCTGAGTCTGTGAAGGCTTTGTGCCCGAATATGTCGCGTTTTGAGGCGGCAGCTTTTCTTCACCCGCAATTTGGGTCGCTTGGGAGCTTGGTGTATGCGCATGTGCGTGTGGGCCAGGTCTTGACGCCAAAGGTGTTTGTTGCCAAGTCGATCAAGCTTGTGTTTCCGATTGAGCTTGTCTTCGAGTCGGGGATGTTTGAAGTTTTGCGTCGTCGTGGTGAGCTTGGGCCTGAGAGGCCAGATCATCCAGTTGCGCCTCGGATTCTTCCGAGTTCCCAGGGTGCCTCTTTGAAGTGTCCTGTTTCCGGTCCGCCAAAGGAGTTTTTTGAGAGGTATGGGTTCTCAGGTGAGTGCCGAGCGTGTTCTAACATGGCACAATTTGGGTCTAGGAAGGGCTCTTCTCACGGTCGGGCTTGCTGTTTGAGATATGAAGCGTGGTTGCGGTCGCAAGTTGCAACAGATGACAGCATGGACGTTGAAGTGCCTGTGGCTTCGGATGCAGAGGCTATGCGTGAAGCTCTTTCTGAGCTAGCCGAGGATGAGTCGAGGCAAGACCGAGCTGTGGAGGAGGCTCAGGGTTCTCCTTTGCCTCCCCCGGCCAATGGGGACGCTGCTTCGTCTGAGGCTCCAGCGAGGATTGTGAGCGAGGCGGCCCCCAGTGGTCGTGTTTTCACGCGTGGTTGTCCTGCGTGCGAGTCTGGCATGAATGCTCCTGGCATTCGTCACAATGCTGATTGCAAGCGAAGGAACCAACATCTGAGTGTTAGATTTTCTGTTTCTGGGGAGCCCGATGATGACGAAGCTTTGTCCAGGCGTCTGCCTGAAAATCTTGAAGGAGCTGTTGCTCCTGAGTCTGAGGGCATTGGGGCTCTTGATGAGGACACTGAGATGCCGTTTGCCGATCCAGTGTTGACTGGAAGTGAAGGCGGAGGCAGCCTAGAGGCTGAAGAAGTGCTTCGTGGAAGCAGTGCTGTGAAACGCTCCTCTGAAGTCCCGTTGGAAGATCTGGAGCGTGAGATCAGGCAGGACCAAGAAAGGGTTGCTTCAGTTATGGTTACCTTCCACAATTGCGAAACAGGGAATGATGTTCACATGCCTCTTGCGAGTTTTGTTGAGCAGGCGTTCCAGGTTTCCAATTATGTCCCTTTGCTTTCAGGGCTTGTGGATTCGGTTCAGTTCGCCCCGAACTCTACGAGTGTTGTTTTGCCGTTTGGGAAAAGGTCGCATTTGAGACTTTGGAAGCCTAGTTCCGCTGTTGATGACTCTACCTTGGGTGAGCTTTCAGGAGATCAGGTCATGGAAGGCATGGTCAAAGAAGTCAACAATTTGAGTCACATGGAAACTGGGGATCTGTTGACTGCTTCAGAACTTCAGAGTCTTGAGAAGAGGTTCCCAGGTACCTTGAAGGTCATCCCTAGTCGTTGGGTCACGACGCAGAAAACACCAACTACAGTGCGAGCTAGGATTGTCATCAAGGATATTGCTGGCAAGAACTCAGAGTCTGCAAGGGCTTTGGGCATCTCGAGTCCTACTCCTAGTGCCGATGCTTTGTTCACGGTTCTTGGGGTTACAGGTTGCAGAGATTGCGTGATTGCAGGTGCTGATGTATCTCACGCTTTCATGGCTACGCCTTTGAGAGAAAGGGATGTGGTGATGAGGTTTCCTCTGTCAGTGTCTTCGGTTTCAGGGGATCCTTTGTATCTTCACCTCAACAAAGCCCTCAATGGGCTACGCAAGGCTTCGCAAGAATGGATCTACTTCGTAGGGGAGACTGTGAAGGTTTTGGGGCTTCAAAGTTGCAGCTTAGAGCCGTGTCTGTTTTCAGGCATGCTTGAGTCAGGTCCCTGTTTGCTGTTGGTCTATGTGGATGATTTTCTGTGCATTGCGCCAACAAAGGAGGATGCAGATCACATCTTTGAGGTGATTGAGAAGAAAGTTGAACTCAAGAGAACCGGGTTGATCAATTCTTCCAAGGATGGCGGTGGCACTTTGCGGTTTATTGGTAGGGTTATCTCCAGGAGAAAGGGGGAGTCCTCTATCACAGTGTCTTTGCCAGAAGATTATTTGGATGAGACCTTCAAGGCTTATGGTCTTTCGGGAAAAGGTTCCTCAAGTCCTCCAGATGTTGCGGTTCATGTTGAGAAGCAAGATGGGGTTCCATTGTCTCCTGAGGCGTATGCCAGGTTCAGGTCTGCGTTGGGGAAAGTAGCTTGGATGACGCAGACTCGTCAGGACTTGCGTGCTTATGTGTCAATCTTGGCAACGCAGCAAGCCACACCCACGAATCATACTGAGCATGGTCTCCGAGCCTTGCTTCGATTTCTGAAGAACGACATGTGCGTGGTTGTGCGGTTGCCTGCTGCGAGTGATGTGTTGGCTCCCTCGCAACACTACCAAGGAAAGAGGCACCTTGTGTGTTTCTCTGACGCATCGCATGCGCCTTTGAGGTGCACGAAGCGCCGTGGCATCAGTGGAGGAGTGTTGACACTTGATGGCTGCGTGATAAAGACTTTGTGTCGTCACCAACAGCTTGTGTCGCTGTCGTCTATGGAGTCAGAGCTGTTTGCGTTGCAGTCGGTTGCTCAAGAAATGTCGAGTCTTGGAAAGTTCATGGCAAGGGTCTTCATGTCGTTTCGAGAAAGCGAGGAAGTTGAATTGCCTGGGATACTTTACAGTGACTCAGAAAGCGCTTTGAAGCTTCTTCGCAATTTGGACACACCCAGGCAAAGCAGACATCTTGAGATAAGAGTCGAGTGGCTTAAAGCTCGTGTCGCAGCGGGTTCTTTGGTCCTTGCGTTTAAGAAGGGAATCGAAAATCCGTCAGACCTCTTGACTAAATGTTTGGGGTCCTCGGCTTTCGGGATACATCGCGAAGCGTTGGGCTTTGAGTCGCTGTCGGGACCACTTGCGTCTTTGTGCAATCATGAGAAGAGATTGGTGATGGTTGAAGTGTGCTGTCGACCGCAGTCGAGTGTTCAAGGTGCATGTCGCAGAGTCGGGATGAGTTACGTTGGCGTGACTGAGAACATGCAGAGTGACAGTGTGTTCAAAGAGGTGCGTCGATATCTTCTGAACTTTGCGTGTGACTGCGTGTTTGTGCATGTGTCCACGCCTTGGATCTTACTTGCGTCGGTTCTCTGGCGGGAGCTCGTCGAAGTCGGATTGGGAATGGTTTGAGGTGTTTCCTTGTGTGTTGAAGTACTTGAAGCTTGGGAAGCACTCGAGCTTTGAGCTGCCATGGAACAATGAGATTTGGCAACATGACTTGTGCCAGAAGGTGCTGAAGAAAGCAGGCCACACGTTCGATGTGCCGGTGAGGTTGTGCATGACTGGTCTTTGTTCGAAAGGGGGGTGAGCCTATAGGCAAAGTCTTGGGTTTTACTTCGACTTCTGAAAAGTTTGTGTCTGCCCTGAAGTGTTTTTCCAGCTGCAGGTGTGCTAAGCATGCAAATCTGTGGCAGGTTGGATGGACCGAAACAGGTTTTTACACTCCGAAACTCGCTGATGCGATTGTTCGAGGTGCGATCAAAACGTTGCAGTGATGCTTTTTGGGGGGTTTGGGCCGGGCTGTTGGCTGGGTTCGGATTCTCCTCTTGACGCCGGTTTCTTTGCGGACGTTGAGGTCTGCAGACAAAGCTCCGTACTGGTGCTAGTTGTTTTTGCGTGTAAAACCTAGGTGCGAACTCGTGCTGCCATGGTTCTCACGACCGATGAACGCAGGGAGCTGCGCCGTTTGCTGGATAAGATGGATTCTGCAGATGGCTTGGCTTCGACTGCCAATACTTCTATGACCGATGGGACCAAGCGTCTCAGAGATGTGGGTGGATATCCAGAGGATAGGTCTACTGCATCAGGATCTGCTTGCGGTGCCCAGCTGCCGATTTCAAAGGGAAGCGCAAAGGGTGCTGTGAGCACTCCCAAGTGTTATGAAGACCTCGTCGATGCATTCGAGGGGGAAGAGTTTGGGGATAGCGACAATGTGATTGTCGTGAGCTATGCAGGTACTGAGGTCACCTCGGTGCCACTTCCAAGTAATCTATCTATGGAGGATTGGGGTCGGACAATCTGCGATCTGCCAAAGGTCCAGAAGAATAAGATGTGGTTTAAGAAGTCCTATGCGACCTTGGCCAAGCTTGCCAAGGAGGATAGCGACCTTGCAAGCTACCTCAATTGGATCAAGGAGAAATTTGGTCGCAATTATGATCCGACGACCTCCTCCAGTCAGTCCTCGGACCTTGCGGGGTATTTGATGAGGATTGGTTTTTCAAAGCAGAAGGGATTCCAGCGCAAGTTGGCGGAGGAGTAAAATCCTCGCTGGGATTGCGGAAGGAGCATGGGTACATGTATGAGCGGTGAGAGCTGGTATTCTCAAGGATGCCTATGTGTATGTTCACTGTTAGAAGTCTGTTGGGCTTCGCTTTGGGTGACGTCCTGTCTGGCATGAGAGAAGAGCTGGCTATCTGGCGCGAGATTTTTCCAATACCTATGTCTTCGTCGCTTCGCATGGGTTGCAGCGTGGCTACATGGTTGGCAATGTTTCAATGTGTGCTTGGTGTCGAGAAGTGCTTGTTTTGGACAGCAGCAAGGATGAGAGATGATACACACATCGAAAGGGGGTGTGAAAAGTTGCACCTCTGAGCTGCCTGTTGAGTGGTGGAGCCGCTCAGTGTGATGGGCTGCGATATGTATATCATCAGGCTGCTGACTGCAGTTTGGGAGCAAGCCAATTTTCCTGCGATTCCTGGAATTTTCTGAGGTGCAATGGTTATCTGGATATATTCTGCATGGTTTTGGCTTTGCAGAGGTTTTCTCAAAGCACTGGAAGATTTTCACTGGGAGCTGCGGTTTTCATGGCATGGAACCTTGGTTTTCAGCTGCGAGAACAGTTTTCGACATGTGGCATGAGTTGCTTGAGCTTTTGAGTGAGCTGAGTGAATGCTGTGAGCCGTTAGTTTGATTAGAGTCCGCATGAGTTCTCGAAGGCCTCAAGGTACCTTCTCGAACAGCTGTAGTGTGTGCAAGTTTGTTTGCCAGCGTGGAGCTTGTAGGAAGCTGTGACGGCATGTTTTTGAAGCGAAGTTTTGTTTTGACATGTGCTGAAGCACATGTGAATCCGGAGTGCCGCGCTTATGTGTGGCTCAAGGCTGGAAAGCTTTGAGACTGATGCTCGTTGAAAGAATGGGCCGATGATGAAACACGTTCTGAGGCTCATTAAAGCAAAGCTTAAAGCAAAGCTTTAGGTGACAGCAGTGCAGTGCAAGAACAGCTGATTTCTTCGTTTGTTGCGCGAGCAAAAGTCTGTGCAGACCTTGACGGGTTGTTCAGGGTTTGTAAGTTTTACAGGACTTGAGGAACCTTTTCCCGAAAGACCATAAGCCTTGAAGGTCTCATCCAAATAATCTTCTGGCAAAGACACTGTGATAGAGGACTCCCCCTTTCTCCTGGAGATAACCCTACCAATAAACCGCAAAGTGCCACCGCCATCCTTGGAAGAATTGATCAACCCGGTTCTCTTGAGTTCAACTTTCTTCTCAATCACCTCAAAGATGTGATCTGCATCCTCCTTTGTTGGCGCAATGCACAGAAAATCATCCACATAGACTAACAGCAAACAGGGACCTGACTCAAGCATGCCTGAAAACAGACACGGCTCTAAGCTGCAACTTTGAAGCCCCAAAACCTTCACAGTCTCCCCTACGAAGTAGATCCATTCCTGCGAAGCCTTGCGTAGCCCATTGAGGGCTTTGTTGAGGTGAAGATACAAAGGATCCCCTGAAACCGAAGACACTGACAGAGGAAACCTCATCACCACATCCCTTTCTCTCAAAGGCGTAGCCATGAAAGCGTGAGATACATCAGCGCTCGCAATCACGCAATCTCTGCAACCTGCAATCCCAAGAACCGTGAACAAAGCATCGGCACTAGGAGTAGGACTTGAAATGCCCAAAGCCCTTGCAGACTCTGAGTTCTTGCCAGCAATATCCTTGATGACAATCCTAGCTCGCACAGTAGTTGGTGTTTTCTGCGTCGTGACCCAACGACTAGGGATGACCTTCAAGGTACCTGGGAACCTCTTCTCAAGACTCTGAAGTTCTGAAGCAGTCAACAGATCCCCAGTTTCCATGTGACTCAAATTGTTGACTTCTTTGACCATGCCCTCCATGACCTGATCTCCTGAAAGCTCACCCAAGGTAGAGTCATCAACAGCGGAACTAGGCTTCCAAAGTCTCAAATGCGACCTTTTCCCAAACGGCAAAACAACACTCGTAGAGGTCGGGGCGAACTGAACCGAATCCACAAGCCCTGAAAGCAAAGGGACATAATTGGAAACCTGGAACGCCTGCTCAACAAAACTCGCAAGAGGCATGTGAACATCATTCCCTGTTTCGCAATTGTGGAAGGTAACCATAACTGAAGCAACCCTTTCTTGGTCCTGCCTGATCTCACGCTCCAGATCTTCCAACGGGACTTCAGAGGAGCGTTTCACAGCACTGCTTCCACGAAGCACTTCCTCAGCCTCTAGGCTGCCTCCGCCTTCACTTCCAGTCAACACTGGATCGGCAAACGGCATCTCAGTGTCCTCATCAAGAGCCCCAATGCCCTCAGACTCAGGAGCAACAGCTCCTTCAAGATTTTCAGGCAGACGCCTGGACAAAGCTTCGTCATCATCGGGCTCCCCAGAAACAGAAAATCTAACACTCAGATGTTGGTTCCTTCGCTTGCAATCAGCATTGTGACGAATGCCAGGAGCATTCATGCCAGACTCGCACGCAGGACAACCACGCGTGAAAACACGACCACTGGGGGCCGCCTCGCTCACAATCCTCGCTGGAGCCTCAGACGAAGCAGCGTCCCCATTGGCCGGGGGAGGCAAAGGAGAACCCTGAGCCTCCTCCACAGCTCGGTCTTGCCTCGACTCATCCTCGGCTAGCTCAGAAAGAGCTTCACGCATAGCCTCTGCATCCGAAGCCACAGGCACTTCAACGTCCATGCTGTCATCTGTTGCAACTTGCGACCGCAACCACGCTTCATATCTCAAAC